TCTATAAGTTATTTTTGTATTTATTTTATAATTTGAAAACTCTGAGCTTTAATCAAGTAATTTCAGCTCGAAATGTACATTACCTTATTGGAGGTCTAAAACGTAATTTCTTTCAGTGAATGTCATTTTATAACAAGCAAGTATAATAAATTAAATTAATTAAAATTTATTTAGGTGCAATTGATTAACATTTCCCTTTTTTCCCGTTCAAGTGACTTACTGCACAAATGGGAAATGCGGTGAAAATGTTTGGCAATAAGTCACATTCTCCACCTTAGGGAAACAATTAAATTTCTATAACCTGTGTTGCTGTTGGATTTACTTCCTGATAACTTTCCAACGCTTCCACTTCGATCGGTTCCATTTTGATTCCAACACCTTTACGTTCGTGGGTCATTTTGTGATTACGCAACTTGTAAGCCTGCTGGAATCCTTTGCCGCAAATATCACAAACATGTGGCTTCTCGCCTGTGTGAATCATCTTATGGAATTTTAAGGTGTTTGTATACGTAAAGGACTTGCCGCAAACATCGCACACGTACGGCCGCTCATTTGTGTGAATGCGATGATGTTTATTGCGAGTGGAAAGATCGGCAAAAGCTGCTGGACAATAGCTGCATTTATATGGCCGATTTCCGGTGTGTGTATTCATGTGACGCGTCAATTGCTGTGTCTGTGCGAAGCAATGTCCACAAATTTCGCACTCATGTGGTTTTATACCCTTATGCAATTTTATGTGCTCGGTCAAACGCCCCTGCGATGGATAGATATTTCCACATATATCGCAGATGTAGGTTGTGGGTTTAATTTTTTTTGGTTTTGGGCCACGTTTGGCTGGTGAACATTTTTCTTTCTTGATTACTGGTTGCCGAGCTGCCGCTTGTTTTGATGTCGATGCTTCCGGTCTACTTAAATTCTTAGGTGGTCGTCCTCTACCGCGCTTCGGTGTTTCTTCTTTAATTTGTACATAATCCTCATCATCATCATCATATTGGAATTCATTAATTTCTTCTAGGTACTCTACTCCATCCGACATAGCCGAAGCTGAACGATCAATTGTATCGAATTCCTCAAACACCTCCTCTTCCTCGTCAATTGGCACATAAATGTCCAAGACCTCTGCCTCCTCTGGATCCGAGTATTCTTGTTTGATTTGAGCAGCATCTGGTTCACGTTGCTTTTTAAAACATTCTCGTGCCCAGTGCCCTTCTTTATGGCAATAGTTGCAGCTTCCACTACGTTTAGTGCGCATCTTTGGCTTTTTGTTGAACTTATTCACTGAATATGCAGTCTTTACCGTGTCATCTTCAACGTGGTGAGCTGAGCGTAAATTCATTAGTGACTCTTCATTTACTAAATGATCGGTTAGTCGTTCGATATTCTGTTCTGCCCGGGGTACTGCATACCAAGCAGTTCTTACATGGTCATATTTAGACGGCAAACTGCTTAACATTTTTGCAATAACCATAGGCTGTTTTTGTTCCATATCCATGTCTTTAAGTCTTTGTGCTAAAGACACAACTCTCGCTACATAATTAACAATGCTCTCATCCAAATCCATTTTGCAGTTTATAAATTTTTCTAACAGCACTTGCGCCGACTGCTCAGATTTCTCGGAATGTACGATTTTCAGCTTTGACCACATTTGTGCTGCAGTTGTACACTCCGTTAAGTATTTCAGCTGCTCCAACTCGATACCTCGCATTATAAAGGCTTGTGCCTCCGCATCCTTCTCATCCCAGATAAGTGAATTTGCTTCTGTACGCTGTGTAGTGCCTAAAAAAATAATCCTTCAATTTGTTCTCAGTCATGTAAATCTCCATCTGTCGACGCCATAGTTGGTAATTCTGCCCGTTGAAGCGGTGTATTTGATATGCTCTTGACTCAGACATAGTACTCAGAGGCCTTTGAAAATTACTTGATACAAAAATTATAGTATCATCAACAGTATCGTTTCCTATCGCAGAATCACCAAACGTTTCGTTGCTTTTATCTTCGCTCATATAACAAAACTCATAAGTGGGGCTCTGGGCCCATAACCTGTTGTAATTATACTCGAATAAGAATAATTAATTGAAATATGATTTATTAAGTAAATTCAGATTTGTTACAGAGTTTTACGTGATGACTTGAACGCAGCAAAAAAAACGAGAGAGAGAGCGGAAAAGGAAATTCAGTTTATGTCAAATATACAGTCCAAGAAGCATACATATGTTACAAAAGATAAATTTAGTACATGTTGTTGCCACACGTTTTATTTTACAAAGCGCTATATACTTAACATTAACTTATGGAAATTAATTTATAACTCGCATGATAAGCACGGCCCATTTAAAGATTTCTATAAATATTTTGGCCTACTACCAAATCGTCGAAATACTTCCAAAAATCACGTTGCATTCTAAACTTCGGCTCACTCTAAATCGGTATGCATAAAATGGTTATATAGTTTTACCAGGTTGTGAGAAAATAATAGTGGTATTCACCAAAGTGAGCAAGTGGCCTGGCAGCAGTGTTGTCAGAGAAAATATCGTTTGGAGCTAAAACAGTCGAAAAAAGAGCTAAATAATACTAATAGTAGCTAAAATGAATAGTTACATATTTTTTTTAAGGTTGAGCATTTATTGACGTAGGTTGCTTTTTCATTTTCGGCAATTCTAATAAAAACAACGGATTTTATAAGTTTAAGTGCTGAAAAAATCTTTTAAAACCAAAATAAGGTGCATATATTTCGAATTCGTTGCTATTGCACTTATAACAGGGAACAAAAAATACTTTACAAACTGTTAAAATCTGTAATTTCAGATATTTAAATTTAATAAAATTTTCGCAAAAATTTTCTGGAAAGTTTTACTTCCAGCTCTCTTTAAAGGTAAAATGTGTAAGGTAAAACAAAATCCGCGCTATCAGAAAAAGGATTTTCTTCTAATTAATTTTTGAATTCTTTACCCTTGATCCAAGAGTTTATGATGGATACACTGCATCTCGAAATTTTCCATTTTATCAACGCTTTAGTTTGACTTATATATACCAAATACAACTAAAACTTTCTGGAGCTAAAAAAGTGCTAGATAAATTCGAAAAGAGCTAAAAAAAGAGCAAGGAGCTAAAACATAATTTTCGGAGCTAAATAGAAAAATAAAGAGCTAAATCTAGCTCCAAAAGCACCAAAATGGCAGGTTGACGTTTTCAACGTCATTTGGACGTTTTTTAAATCCTGTTGATGTTCGGACGTTTTTTGTGTAAAAAATTACGTTTTTTAACTTCCCAGTAATTTTGTTTTGTTACTAAATCTTGTATTTGAATTATTTTCTTAATAAATCTTTACAAGCTTTGTTTTTTTTGCAGCGGCTTCCTCAAAATATATTGAGGTTGTTCACGCTTGCCTGGTAATGAGGTTATCTGGTTAAAAATTATTATTGTGTAGTGTATTTTATTGTTGTAATCATAATCACATAAGCTTATAACCAGGCAAGCGTGAACAACCTCATTTATTCTTTGGACTCAGATGACTTAAATATGATGCGCATTTTTTTTTTTTATTCTTGGACTAAGGTCGAGGCCACGCAATGAGCGGCAATACAAAAATGCCGCTCAGCTGCTCAGAAATGCCGCTCAGAGCATGGCCACTTTAAATGCATTTCATATGTTTTAATTAAGCCGCTCAGCCGTTTGCCGCTTTGCCGTTCAAAGTCTGGTTGTGTAAACACTTGAGGTTACGAGGCTTATTACAATGTTTGCAATTGCATATTAAAAGCCAAATCAGGAAGAGCTGATCTATTGCAACACACACGCTCGCAAAAGCACCAAACAAGCTGTAGCAGCATAAAAAGTCAGAAAACTAGGCGACTTTTTCAAGACTTCATTGGAATTATAATGAACGCAAAAGGGCTTAAATATTTTCGACAACCGACCACGTAACCAAATATCTACAAGAAAAAAAATGATCAACGGATTCTTTAACAACTTAAAACTTGCACGTTATTACCTTGAAATTTAATAATGGTCTATCAAACTGCATACTCAAAAAAATTCTTAAAAAGTTGAAAATCTAGCTCAAACTTTGCAGATTTTTTATAATTTTTGCACAAAGTTTGAAATGTGGATTTATGTTTTGTTTGTTATGGAAAAATAATAAACATTAGATAAACAAAAGAAAACAGCCACAATCGATCAAAACGTTGATGACTTATGCAGCGTTTTTGCTGCATTTAAAAAGCAACATTTAGCACTTTCAAACATATTTTTTCGAAGAGCGTTCATGCTATCGCATTTAACAAACGTACATTTACGCGAGTTCGAAATCTATGCTTTTGACAAACAGCCGTGTTCTAGTCGCTTATTCAGATCTTTATCTATCACGATCAATTCGCCCAGAGAAGATAATATTCAAAAAACCCTACTGAAAAGGGAAAAAGAAATTTTAAACAAAAAATTCAATACTAAAACTTGAATTGTTTTAACCATAACCGAAAATTTGTGTGTGTATATATTCATTTGTCGGTGCTGTCAATTGTAATTTCCACAAATCAATAGGAAAAAAACAAACAGAGTTGATCACAAATTGAGCCAGATTTCTATCAGTATCACACCGATGTTGAATTTGCGCAACTTTTCTTTTTCCAAATAATGTAAAATAATAAATGAAATCTCGATCGGCGATAACTGAAACGCAGGTTACAACTGTATACGCGAAAAAGCAATGTTGCCGCTTTTTCTCTTTAAGCCATGTTCGAATCGTGGAAATTTGTGAAGATCACAGGGTTGCTTTTAGCATTTAGACTCTTAATGCAGAAATGGAGTTGCATTTAGGTGACAAATTTTGTATGGATAAATGTACATTTAGAGTAGCATTTAAAGCTAAATGTGCTTTTACGCGTAAGCAAAAACAGCCCATTAATCAGATCATCACAAGTGTATGTATAAAATTACTTTTATATTAACGATCTCAAACCAGTTTACAATGAATTTTAAATGTGCTCTGTCGAAATGACATTTTAATAACCTTACATACATACTTATGTACTTTTGTATACAATAAAAGTTTAATAAGAACAACTCTGTATGCATACATTTGAAAAAGACGTTTTTGGGTAGGAAATGACGTTTTTCCGACTAAGAGAGACGTTCTCCCATGCCAAAAAGCTGGCAACCAGTGTTGCCGCGAAAAATTTTAAGTGGTAGCTAAATTCCCTTAAAAAAAGAGCTAAAAAAAGTCGTTGTGGCTAAAAATGGTAGCTAAAATTTTTTACTTACATATGTGACCTGGTCTAAGGAAAGGGGGCTTAGGTATCAAAAAATCAATTTTCACTTTTTGGTTGATTCGGATGGAAGATGAGATGCTTTTTCACGTGGTGAAAAGCAGGAAATCCTAACTTGCTTAGAAGTGTACTAAAAATAATAATAATATTAATAATAATAATAATAATAATATTAATAATAATAATAATAAAACTATAATAATATTCCGACCAACAACAACACTTACTGGACCAACAACAACACTTACTGGACGTCCGGCGCGGAGAACAATTAACGAGATAATGAGAAACTGACGAAACGAGTTGCTTACTTTTAACAGCTTTTTCACAGAAAACTAGTTTTCGCACGTAAGCTCCCTTTTCGTAGACCAGGTCACATATA